GAAAATGGATGGATGGATGGATGGATGGATGGATGGATGGATGGATGGATGGATGGATGGATGGATGGATGGATGGATGGATGGATGGATGGATGGATGGATAATTCAATAATCAATAAGACAGAGTTTAAACATCATGTTAGGAAGCCGATCTATGTTAGAAAGACACAAACGCTGATAGATCTATTAGAAAACGTAATAAATGAGAAGATAAACAGCAACAGGATGCGCCCAAAGTGAAATGCGATCTTTCTTTTCCTTGTGTTGGTATAAACAAAGATGAAATGTTAAACCTAACAAAGGAAACAGAAAACTTACTGCGATGGCCCACCAGTGTTGCAGCTTACAGATGGCGTAGGCCAGGATGAGGGCTGCGAACCTGAAGGCAGCCAGCAGCTGAAACCAAGGAGGGGAGGAAATGAGACACACTTTGAAAAGAAAGAGCGTGCTTTGTTATAAATGTCATATTTCTGAAAGCAAATGATTAAAAAATATTACAAAGATGTCAAAGAAGGAGGCGTGGTAGTCGTAGTGCAGAACCTCTCTCTCCAGCTGCACCCGAACGCCCCCGCTCACCTGTCCAGCACAAATAAAGTTCACGTCAAACAAACGCCTCCGATTAAAACGTTTGTTGAGTTTCCACTGAAGTCTGAGTCAACCCAGCCGTCTCACTTCACACAGGAAAGGAGGGGGCGCTACTGCTAAATTTAAAATCTCTTAATTGTGAACACATCGTGACCTTTTGACATTTTCTTCCAAGTCACTACTGATGATCCTCAGACTTGATGAGGTCATAACCTGCAGTTCTTAATTATTTTATCAAAGTGCAAAGTAGAAATCTGAAACGCTTCTTGTGACCAGAAGAAAAGAGACTTTAGGAGCATTTAACTTTAAATTATGGTCTAAAACTTCATAATTTATCATCAACAAAAAGTTACGAGTTTTATTCTTTATAGACTTTATCAATAACACAATGACCCGTATTTAATCTCCTCAGACAGGTTAAAATTTAAATGAACACAGAGTTAATAAATTAAATAAAATCTTCTGTGTTGTTGAATAAACTGTTTCATCTCCACCTACTTGTAGATAAATAAGGAACCAAAAACCAGAGAGCAACGCTGCTCAACTCTCAATAACACTGGAAATGCAGTATTTTCAAACTAAATTATTTTATTTTTGGCTGTTTTTTATTTAAAACTCAAGAGTTGGATGCACTTTGATCACAAGAGGTGAAATTATTATATTGAAAATGTTAGTTTTAGTTATTTTACATTTTCAAATAATGATTGTATTTTATAGCTTCAACACTGCACAGTCTGAAATTATTTATTTTTGTTTTATTTTGTCATTACTAACTTCTAATGCACTCACTCTGACTAAAAACTAATTTTTCCCACTGTATGTAAAAATAGCTTAAATTATATATATATATAT